CAATAATTTTATGTGTTTCTTAAAAACTAAAAAAATAGCCAAAACGCCCTCCCGCACCATTTTTTCAGAAGGATTGTCTGAGAACCAAAATATTCATTTTGTGTGGCCTTAATTCGATTAATTATAAAACTATGAATACAATATCAATACGTTTTTATTATAGAATTTAAACCAGGATTATTATTTGTTTAGGTGCAAGCTTTAGTAGTCTGGTATCAGTGGAATGTAACATTAAGTTGAGTATACATTGGTATCATTAGGGATTTTTTCCCATCCCAGTTGACAATAAAAGGATTGTGCAGGTAACTTGAGATTATAAAGGGATGAGTAAGCTGAACATGTTGACCTATCCACTTTTGTTTGGCAAGAGAAATGTGAAGAGTCAAACTTTGTTAAGATCTGATTAAAATACAGATATATATTTCTAATAACAGACAGCTTTATGGATAACATTCACTAGGTTTATTAACTGCAACATTTCAATGAGGATACTCTCACTGTTATCAAGCAAGATATATATTTTGTTCTGTTTTTTCGGGTTTTTTTTTGGGGGGGGGGGGGGTATTATACTTTCAATGGCCTCCACTACATGATGATCTGACCTGAATTTTTTCAGCAGTATTTTATGCTCTACAGGACTACATGTAACATTGTTCACTTTTATTTCAATAATTCGCTCTTGCTTAGGGGTCTTTAGTTGTGACAGGAAACTGGAGGAAACAGAAATCCCATGAGGTTGGACATGATCTCACATTTTACCTATTCCATAATGCCCTTTCACAGTCAAATTATATAATTAAATCTCCTATCCCATTTCGAGAGGTGTGCACCAAAACATGTCCCCAAAAATCTTAAAACAATTTGAAATATGCTGACGACAGTGTAGGATTGTTTCAAATTCTTAAAATAAACATTCCACCAAACATAACTTTTAACTAAGCTTTCTTTAGATAACAATGATTTGTTTACTAGACACAATACGATCAATTCTTAACTTAAAATCTATTTGGTGAATTTAATTGGTTATTGTGTCTTGTCAAACTAGCAAGATCAACTTCATTCATATTGTTTAAAGATTGGTTGCCAGGCAACAAAACATACACCCATATCAGTTTATTGTTAGAAATTGTATCATACCATTGGCATGTTAACAAGATTAATTGACATGTATGGGCAGTCACTCGTACTCAGCAACATTTCCTACTTTTTCACAATAAATTCTGCCGATTAACATATTTAATACCAGGCCCTCACCTGACCCAATTCTAGTTGGTTCGTTTCAAAATGGATTAATAACCCTGGGTAGAAGTATCAATAGGCTTGAATAATGCACATACATATCGGATGATTACTTTTGTCATTATAGCGTTCACAAGATTCTACGAAGTGAAAAAAAGGGGCATATAATAATAATTAATGGAAATTGTTGAAATTCAATAGCCTTCTTCATTTGAATTGAACATTCGCAAGATTCTACAATTGAAACGGGGGCCGTAATGGAATTTGAATTAACAGAAACTGTTAAAATTCAATATGCTTCTCCATTTCTGAAGAAACGTACATAAATTTCGAACAAAAATTGTGACCTATACAGGGTCCACAAGGTAATATAACGATTTTTCGTGCAATCAGGGGCAATAATCCAGGAAGTTACGGTCCAATATGAGCCAAAATGGAACCCATCCCATTTTTGGGATATAAACATTTCACGTTTTAATCAAAATTGGACAAAAAGTGTGACCTGTAGATTGACCACAAAGTAATGTAAACAGACACTCATACAGACGGACGGATGACGACAACGACATAATACTTGAACTGCATAAAAATGTGGGCTTATAAAAACAAAACTCTGCAAAGAAAATTTTCAGACAGTAATTTAAACAAATATTTATAAACAATATTGGCTGGAGGCCTTCCTCAATGTTAATGGACAGAAATGAATTACTGCTCATCATCGACAAGAAATTAAAGATGGTCGATTCAAATCTATAAAGATAGATTGCCAGGCAACATCACATACGCCCATAGGTATATGTCTGCATGAAAATGTGGACGTATAAAAATAAGGGCTGAAAAGAAGTATTTCAGACAGTAATGTAAACAAATATTTATTAATAATATTGGCTGGATACCTTCCTCAAAGGGGCATTACGGAGGATTCAAATCCAGTGAAACTCTGACACTTAAGATGATGGTATGAAAGTTGATAAATGGTCTTTTCACATGTCTAATTATTAGTTTAATTAATATTTCAGGCCTAAAGAAGGACATGCAATAGTCAGATTTAACTCTTGCATAATGTAGTATGTTCAATGTTAATGGACAGAAATGAAATGAAATGGGGTTCAACGTCCTACTGTTCGGCTCCGAACTCGGTTAATAACGACAGGCATATGCCATACAGTGTGCTATGTGGGAAATTTTATCCGGCCTACTCTTACATCAAATTCCAACTGTCCAACGGATCTTTTACCTGCACGCCAATGTGTACACGGGAGCTCGGTTTTTCGTCCTGTCCAAACGACTAAACTGCTGTCCTTGTCAGACCCTCTGTCCTGCATCACTGACAAGGGGAAACCACACCGGTAAATCTGGATGAACTTTCTCGGCCAATGAAGGGATCGAACCCCTGACCTCCAAGCTAGCGAGCCAGCATCTTACCCACTTAGCCACCGTGACTCGCCTTAATGGACAGAAATGAATTACTGTTCATCATCGAGAAGAAATAAAAGATGGTCGATTCAAATCTTTAAAGATAGGTTGCCCAGCAAGGAAACATATGCCCACAGCATCTAAGTTGTATATTTTTTTCTTTTCTGGGTAATGAACATTTATAACACCACAACAAAATCTGATTAAGAGTAAGTAATTATGAAACAATCAATAGAATTTGTTTACTTTACTAGTTCTGCCTCATGCTAATGATTAGTATACAAAACATTTAATATCCTAGATTTACTGTCAAATTATCAAAAATCATTGAAAATCAATATACATGCTTGTCAAGACCTTAAAAGCTGTGTATCAAATCTAAAGTCAATCGAATGATTACTCTGGCAGTCAACTGTGTATAAATTGAAAATCAATCGGATGATTACTTTGATCTCTAGAGCATCCACCAGATTTTTCAAAGTTATCAAGGGCCATAACTCTGACAGTAATTATTGGAAATTGTTGAAAATCAATAGGATTCTTCGTCTCATCACTTTAAACACTGTATAAATTTAAAGTCAATCGAGAGTGTACACAAGCAATTGTGGACCACCAGTTGGGGGGGGGGGATGACAATATAAACACTGTATAAATTTAAAGTTAATCGAGAGTGTACACAAGCAATTGTGGACGGCCGTCGACAATACACGACCACATTTCAATTTTTAGACCAATAAACTAATTATATAAAAGGTAATCTACTTTATGGCCTGAAAATGTTACCAGTCAGTTGTATGTTTGGTCCTCACTCTTGTCGGCAGCATGGTTGAGCATGGGAAAAGCATACAGGTAAAAGATAATAATTAGACACTACCAGGTTCGACATAGCAACTGAGATAGTATTAGTAATCTGCAGTATGTATTGTTCCTGGCTGTGTGTAATTTAGTACTGGTATATTATGTATGTTTCCAATGAGCAGTACTTTGAGTATGTTCCTTCAAGTGTGCAATTTAGTGCATTATGACTGGTACATGTATTTTATGTATGTTTCCAGATACATCACTGACTGGAATTCTTATTTATAGAATAACCAGCACATTGTTTCATGCTTTTCGTGACCGTTTCCAAAAGATCTCTAGCTTTTTTTTAGGTAGTTGCAATGCCAAAAGATGAAAAATTATTACATATACCAACGGCAATTTTGCATGTCAAAAAGAAAACAAGCCAACAGTGAGGCTGATGTCCCCCGCCGAAATAGGAAAATAATTAGAGGACACATATAAATTTATCACAAATAAGTGGAACGGACAGACAGACAAACAGACAGACGGACGAACCCATTTTAATAGTTCCCTGCTTTCTTCGAAAGCGGGGGACAATCAAAGTAGGAGAGTTATTGTTTTCCAAAGTCTCGACCAATCAAATTGCGTATCGCTCTGCTTACCCTGAGCAGAAAATGCTCATTATCAAACTTAGTCAAGGTATTACTGTAATGAAACTATACACCAAGTTTCATCAATCTCACTTAATTAGAACTAAAGTTATCGTGTCCCAAAGCATCAACCAATCAAATTGCTTATCTCTGCTTACCCTAAGCGGAAAATGCTCATCTTCGAACTCCATCAAGGCATTGACCTAATCAACACATACACCAAGTTTGAACATTCTAGCTCAATTAGGAAGAGAGTTATCGTGCCCCAAAGTATCAACCAATCAAATTGCTTATCTCTGCTTACCCTAAGCGGAAAATGCTCATCTTCGAACTCCATCAAGGCATTGACCTAATAAACACATACACCAAGTTTGAACATTCTAGCTCAATTAAAAGTTATCGTGTCCCAAAGCATCAACCAATCAAATTGCTTATCTCTGCTTACCCTAAGCGGAAAATGCTCATCTTCGAACTCCATCAAGGCATTGACCTAATCAACACATACACCAAGTTTGAACATTCTAGCCCAATTAGGAAGAGAGTTATCGTGTCCCAAAGCATCAACCAATCAAATTGCTTATCTCTGCTTACCCTAAGCGGAAAATGCTCATCTTCGAACTCCATCAAGGCATTGACCTAATAAACACATACACCAAGTTTGAACATTCTAGCTCAATTAGGAAGAGAGTTATTGTGTCCCAAAAAGTGTGACGGACAGACAGACGGACGGACAGACAGACGGACAGACAGACGGACGAACCCATTTTAATAGTCCCCTGCTTTCTTCGAAAGGCGGGGGACAATAAAACAGATCTAATTATGCATTGGTACATCTTTTTTCTTTTACCTTTTCTGGAAACTTAATTTTATTATCAAATTCAACTATAGTACAACATAAAAATAACCACTCACCAATTGATGAAGGAACTTTTACCAGCAGAATGGTTCCCAATCAGAAGAACTGTAATTTTCTTTCTTGGTGCCAACAATGACAGGCCCAAACTTTCACCAATTCTTACCAATCCTGCAACACAAATTTATTTCGATCAAATTTAAGCCTTTGGTAACTAGTAAATATTAACTCCAAACTTCTAAAAGATAGGTTGCCAGACAATGAAACATGTCCACAGCAGCTAATCCACAAGTCAAAATTTTAGATGGTATAATATCACTGTTGATATTCAATTGGCTTCTTCCTTTTTATACGCCCACATTGAAATGGGGTCGTATACGGTCATCGCCCCCGTCTGTTCGACCAGCATCTATAATTGCTTGTGAACGCTCTAGAGGCTAGAAGCTAATATCTGATTGACTTTAAATGTTTAAGGTCACGAGACAAAGATGCCTACTGATTTTCACCGATTTCTGATAATTACTGCCAGAGTTATGGCCTTTGATCACCTTGAAATATCTTGTGGACGCTTTTTAGGCTAAAGCTAATATCCAATTGACTAAATTTATACACAGTGTTTAAGGTCATGTGACTAAATTTATACACAGTGTTTAAGGTCATGAGACGAAGAATCCTATTGATTTTCACCGATTTCCAATAATAACTACCAGAGTTATGATCCTTGATCACTTTGAAATATATTGTGGATGCTTTTTAGTCTTAAGTTAATATCCGACTGACTAAATTGATACAGTGCTTAAGGTCATGAGGCGAAGAAACCTGCTGATTTTCACGGATTTCTGATAATTATTGCCAGAGTTATGGCCTTTGATCACTTTGAAATATCTTGTGGACGCTTTTTAGGCTGAAGTTAATATCCGATTGACTAAATTTATACACAGTGTTTAAGGTCATGAGACGAAGAAACCTATTGATTTTTACCGATTTCCAATAATTACTATCAGAGTTATGGCCCTTGATAACTTTAAAAAATCTTATTGAGGCTGAAGTGAATATCCGATCGACTTTAAATTTATACACAGCGTTTAAGGTCATGAGATAATGAAGCCTAGTGATTTTCAACGATTTCCGATAATTACTTCCAGAGTAATGGCTCTTGATCCCTTAAAAATATCTTGTGGACGCTCTGGAGGCTAAAATTAATATCCTATTGACTTATACGCAGTGTTTGAGGCCATGAGACGAAGAATCCTATTGATTTTCAACAATTTCCAATAATTACTTTCAGAGTTATGGCCCTTGATCACATTGAAAATCTTGTGGATGCTATAGAGGCTAAAGTTATCATCCGATTGACTTTAGATTGATACTTTCAGCTGCCGTGGAATGTGGACGAATGTGTTTCATTGCCTGGCAACCTAACTTTAAATATTTTGAACACGCATAAATTTCATACAGAACAGGTGATAACTTTTGTTATTAGACTATTAGAGTTCTACAAAATGAAGCAAGGGCCATACCTAGTGGCAATTTATAGAAAGTGTTGAAACTACATCGCCTCCTTTGTTTCACTAATAATCAAATGGCATTTATCCATGTCAAACAGATCGGTGATCTCTTTTGTTGTTATGCGTCACCTACAGATGGCGCCATGCTTGATACCTAATACAATCCCACATGTGTTGTGTCGGGTCTCACTACTTTATTCCGATTGGTGGGGGGTTTACTGATTAATTATTATAATTACTACATGTATTACTTAACATAAACTCTTCAAAAAATATTTTACATGTTTTTTTTATGTCATTATGTAAGGATAAAAGAAATTCATGATTGGTTTTAAATCTAGGGTCACTATTTTCGCTTGATTGCACCAAGACACATGAGTTTAACAACTTAGCAAGCTTTTTGCAGGAAACCCAAATCCAAGGCCTTTAAAATCCTGGGGTTCTCGGTTTCAAAATCAGTTGCTCATGTAAACACTCAACGAGCCAAGTGATGCCACATCCGAACGAGGACCAACACAACAATGCTAACGTTCACTTAGGTGAATCCCAGACAGATGTAGCCAGGCTGCTGGATGTTTTTCAGAGAACCATCTCTCGCCTTTGGGATAGGTACCGACAGCAAAGTTCAAGATCTGACCGGTCGAGCTCAGGCCAAACAAGAGTGACCTAGATCATCACATCAGGTTACGTTATTTACGGAAATGGTTCACAACAGCAACCTCTACTGCAGCAGCAATTCCTGGACGACGTTGGATCTCCGACCAGACATTCCGTAAACACGTACGTGAAACCGGATTACAAGCCAGGTGTCCAGTTAGAGCTGTTTGAAATACGCCATCATTGTCAAATCTGACTTCAATGGGTTCAGTTACACAGGGTATGGATACAGCAACACTGGAGAATAGTTTGGTTCAGCGAAGAGTCATTGTACCTGTTGCAAAGAGGCAATGGTAGAGCAAGGATATACCAAGACGAAATGTCACTATGTGTTTCCGTTTTTGAAGAGTATACGTGTAGAATTGCTCTGTAAAAACTGAGGACAGACGCAAGAGATGACAAACTATAATCACATTAAATATTTGAGCCAAAAAAAAAATTTCAGACATTTAAAAGAGAATAAGATTTAGCATTTACCAGACTAGACAATAAGAATAGAAACTTGGGACTAATTGCTTCAAGAATATATTAACACCAGACCTAATATTTTAAAAGGAGAATAGAAATCCAGACATGAAAATCATGTTTCTGTCAATTTCGAGGACAAAACTACCACGTCTATTCCAAGAAAATACTTTTTACTGTCTGTCTGGTTAGTTTTAGAATTTAATTTACATTCAATTCCAAGTCTAGACTGTGCTTTTATCTTGTATTAAATTGGACATTATTTTGCTAGACAGAATTTCCTCCGTGAATACCAATATGTCAATCTATTGACAATCCACAAAAATAATTACTCATCATTTTTTATTATTCTTTCCGTCTTCATATTACAGAAAACGAAGAAATACCTATACGGTTTAAAAATCTAAAGTCACAGTATGAGTATGTCAGAAATAAAAAGGGAATTGCATACAGAAATCTCCAAGATCTTACTCATTCATTAGCCTAAATATCAATTAAATCTATTTATCTACGGAGCGGTCATGTAGGGTTTACAATTTTTAGTTTTCACTCATCCATCTCTGATCGTCTGTTTATAAAAGAAGCCGAGAGACACGGTAGCTAAGTGGGTGAGACGCTGGCTCACTAGACTGGAGGTCGCATGTTCGACCTCTACATTGGCCGAGAAAGTTCATCAGAATTTTCCAACATGGTTTCCCCTTATCAGTGGTGCAGGATGGAAGGCCTGAAAAGGACAGCAGTCTAGTCATTTGGATGGTACGTAAACCGAATTCCTGTGTACACATTGGAATGCACGTAAAAGATCCCTTGATTTCCCTGATAGCACACTGTATGGCATGCATCTTCATTATCCCAGTCAGGAACAGAACAGGACTTTAAACCGCATTTTTATAAAGCCAGGCAATTATCTATGTACAGAATTGCAATTGCTAGGCCTTCATGTCTTGTCATGCTAGGAGAATAAAAATGAAATGAAAATGGAGTTTAACGTCCAACTGTTCTGCTCCGATCTGGGCTAATGAAGACAGGCATACGCCATAGTGTGCTATGAAGGAAATTTTGCCTGGACAGGGTCACTTAGGCCTACTTTTATATCAAATTCCAAATGTCAAGGATCTTTTACCTGCATGCCAATGTGTACGCGGGACCTCAGTTTTTCATCCCACCCGAAGTACTAGACATATGACAAGGGGGAACCACGCCGGAAAATCTGGATGTACTTTCTCGGCCAATGCAGGGATGGAACACCCGACCTCCAGGCTAGTGAGCCAGCGTCTTAGCCACTTAGCCACTGTGATCCCCAGGAGAATAAAACACCAAATACAAAATATTATGAAATAATCAAAACTTATCATGAAAGCTGCACTTATAGTGCTTGATCAAACCACTCTTTTCCATTTACCGTAAACTAACCTTACAGTAACATCTACAGTTTAACACCAAAGACCATAAGATACTATATATTATTAATTTTATTTTAATGTAAAAGCGGACAATTTTGTCTAGAATACAAAGTAACAATAATGATCCAACTGTCAATTTATCGTTCACAGTATTGTCAATTTATCGTTTAAAGTAGTCAATTCTCATTAAAAGTATTGTCAATTCTCATTTAAAATACTGTCAATTTATCTTTTAAAGTATCATCAATTATCGTTTAAAGTATCATCAATTACCATTTACAGTACTGTCAATTTATCATTGAAAGTACTGTCATTTCATCATTGAAATTATAATTTGTCGTTCACAGTACTGTCATTCACACAGTACTGTCAATTTGTCATTCAAAGCACTGTCAATTTGTCATTCAAAGCACTGTCAATATGTCTTTCACAGCAATTTGTCGTTCACAGCAGCACTGTATGTCGTTCAGAGTACTTTGAATTTGTAGTTCACAGTAGCACTGTATGTCGTTCAGAGTACTTTGAATTTGTCGTTCACAGTACTTTCAATTTGTCATTCACAGTACTTTCAATTTGTCGTTCACACCACAGTCTTACACAGCACTGTCAATTTTTCATTAAAAGCTTGTTTATAATACAATACTATCAATTTATTGTATTTACAGTAATCAATTTGCACAAGGGTGTGCGCAGCCTTCTCAGATTTTATTTCCCTTACATGACCGCAATCAAGAGACAACTAACTTGAAAATTCGAGGTTGTGAGACTAATCAGAAGAACAATGCAGGATGAAATCAGTCGGAAGGGGTTAATTCTCTTGTTCAGATGTCATTCAAAATAAAAAATAGTATTTTCTCTTTTTCAGGGGAAAAGTCTGAACGCATGAATAATTCAACTGATGTAGTCTAGAATAACTACATGTATAGACAATTTGCTTAGACATCAAATAAGCAACAACCTGTTGAGCCATATTAGTTCGGACTGCCCTAACCTGTAATATGAAGAGTTCCTATATCACTATAAATCAACAAGTATGTCTGACCTAGCCTGGATGGTGGTCCAAAGCTTCATTATTCCTGCGAGTAGAAATAGACTCTCAACATCACTATACAGGAATAAACCAATGCAGATGAAGCTC